GTTGTAAGTAATCACCTTGACAAGATATTATTAAAGAAAAAGAAATTGGAAGGTAAACGGTGTGAATTTTAGAACGATACTGCGCTTGGCTTTGCGTCACTATCTCCATGTATTCCATGTCTCTTCTTAGAGTCTCTTTCCAAGTCTTCCCAGATCTTCATTTACCGATTTTGCCCTAAGCCTCTATCTCATAATCGCATATTCTAACTGGGACATTTATTAGTCTTCACATGTCCAAACCACTAACCGATTTTCTTTTATCTTATCTTTAATTGCGAGGCCTCCTTCTTGTCGAAGTCAAAGCTATCAGTCGATCTCGTGGCGAGCCTTCCCCACCTACCTTACCAGATCGGGCCGGCAGGCGGACGAGACAAAATGGGTGGGCACTACTAACCAAGCCTAGTTCTCGCCGATTGGCGCTGGTAGCTTGCTTCCAAGCCCTGCCTTATATAAAAGTTGTTTGTTGTCATGGCCCGAAGGAGCCTTAAGCACGTGTACAATGCTCAAGTAAAGGCTTTGGGCAACGAGTAGGATGGAGCCTTTACTTGAGCATTATATTAGTGAAGCGCGCCATATATATTGAGGGAAGGGAAAAGGGGCCTCTTTCCTCGCACGATGGTAGAGGTCGATCCATTGATTAAGGGTGGAGTAATCCAAACCGTATGATCCTCCAAAGGGTTTTGACATTGAGATATAGGATGTGATCTAATTCATCTTATCTTTAATTATTAGGCCTTCATCTTGTCGAAGCAAAGTCCATTGATTAAGGGTGGAGTAATCCAAATAGAATGATCCTCCAAAGGGTTTTGACATTGAGATATAGGATATGATCTAATGGTTCCGTCCTATAAGTTGAAGATATCCAAGTTCATCCCTTCACGAATGATGTATGTTGAGTTTGGCTGACATCCGGAAAACTTTGAAGCCGAAACAGACATAGATGGATGACAACCCTCGAAATTATCTTCTTTGTCATTGAACGCCAACTTGTTAACAACTTCCCCTTTGATACACGTACCAATAGGTCTCTCTTGGTTGATTCCACTACACGTCATATCTAATTATTCTCTTTTCCCAGAAGCGCCCCTTGTTTCAAAGAGAGGAGGGCTGTGAGGAAGCGGCTGTTGCTCACCCGAAAAGGGGGAGAACAATAATGGGGATCGGGATGCGGGCCAAACTCCTGCCAATGGCTGAGTTGTTCAGTCGACTTCCTCTCCCTTGGTGGGATCCCTTTATAAAATATAACATCTCTAATAATCATTGTTTCGAAGTTGTGATTCGTCTTACAAGTTTAAAGAAATTAAACTTGAAAGATGAATCGCCAATGAAGAAGACCATAACTGCATAATTGTTGTCTCCATTCAAAGTGAGATCGGTGGACAAGATAACCTTCATCTTACAATGATTTTTTCCTCCATTTGTGGAGTAAGATATTCAAAGTATTATGTTTGTTACGAACTTGTACTCGATTTGAACACTTAAAAATTATAATCATCATCATACTGCATTGAATGTCACATTTGTCCCCTAAATAATACATGTGGCGGGCCTATTAAGTGGTGTAGAAGTAACACAACTATAAGGTCTACCAAATCACTTGCTTGGTTTAAATACGTTATTTGATGAGTCATTTATGGATCTTCATGGTGACCAAAATCTGGGATGGAGGCCCTCTTCTTCTGGAGGAGAAAATCTTGGTGATCTCCAACACAGCTAATAGATTACATGGAACACACGATTGATATACAGCGACGGCAACGTCTTGGCTAATTACGAATTAATTATATGTACAATCATACAAATAGAAACAGTGTGTGTGCGCGTGTCAATGAATCTTTTTGACGTGCAAAAATTTGCCAAATGGAAAATATTGCTCCTCCCAAATTCCCAATATTACTTACAATTTTATAACATTATGCCAAATGCAGGCCTGTGTTTCATTTAGTCCTGCCTGCCTAGTTTGATGGCATCCACTTTCAGAATTACACATGTCATGTCATTTGTGAGATCGGTGGTGTTATTCATAACCTCTTTTTAGGTCCCACATATTATTTTTAATTTTCAACCGTTAAATCGATCAAATTAAAGAAAATCAAATGACATAAATCAACAAAGGATGTGTGAGGTAAAAAAAAAAGTGTGTGAGTAACCCTACTCTTGTGAGATTACTAATTCGGATCGCATGTTTACTTATTTCGGGAAAAAGACATGTTTACTTATTTTGAAACGAAAAAGTTACAACTTACAAGTATAAGAAAGACTGAGTGGATGTGGATCAACTATTCATCTCTTTATCTAATCTAATTTATGGTTTTTAGGTTTTGAGTTACAGATTGTGATTTGTTTGTTGGGTAGTACTACTAGTAGGGAGACCAAATTATTAAACTAAAATTTGTAAACCAAATGATGTGGTGGTTGATGATTGAATTATTACTTAAGTATTGATTAACATGCTTGTTTACTATTGATGAGTCAGTGACACATCATTTGGTTTAAAAGTTTGGTTTTCCGCATTATCCTTGTTTGATTATGCAGGTATATATTAGTAACGCATGAAAAGTTTTTGGGTAATGTTAGGGAGACCAAATTTTTTAAACCAAATTTGCAAACCAAATGATGTGGTTGTAGATGATTGTGTTATTAACTAAGTGTCGATTAACGTGCTTGTTTCTTATTTGTGACATATCATTTGATTTACAAATTTGATCTCCCTAGCATTATCTAAAGTTTTATTTTATTTTATGAAAACACATAAAAAGTTAAGAATTAAAATAGTTTTAATATACATATAACTATTCCATGTTAAAAAAAACTTTAAGAACCATGAAATTCAGGTCCTTGGCTTCTTTGAAAAAGAGATTTAAGCTCTTGATTTGTGTGAGGTGAGTTAGAAAAATGGGGTAATAAAAACCGTCGAATTCAATTTGAATGATATAAATTACCCAGTTTTTGATCTCTAGACAGTAAGATCCGAATAGAACCTATGTCCATGGTTGTGATCATAGCAGCAGAGCAATTCATTTGGCTTGTGACTTCCCAACTAACAAAAGAATATAAAAAGAAAACAGAATAAATAGATGTAAATCAATAAGGTTGAAAGGTTGGAGAAGTAAATCGAAAAAGGTTTGGTAGGTAATATTTTATTTTCTGTGCTTTCATTCACAAGTGGGATATACAAGTGGGTTGGAATTTGGTGTAAATGCATATGGAAAGTGACATTAGAGCAGTCACCTTTGTTGGCTGAACCAACCTAACTACACAATCAAATATTCCCCTTTTTGCTTTACAATTCTGGCATACAAGATCTGAGAGTTGCCGGCTTCTTCCCCGGAAACTGTTACTCTTGCCATGCTAGAGGAGATAGTGCACCCAACGCCAAACCTTCCTCTTCATCTTGCCTCGAACTGGCTAAAACTTAAATAGAAGAGTCAAACGAGGGTTAACGAGGCTTGGGTAAAGCTGAACTATTGGCAAGAGCAAGAAATATAGTATTTCAAAGCGTTTGTATCATGCCAGACTTAAAATGACGGGTTATACCAAGAAATAACTTATACATTTTTAAAACGGTGACGTTCAAAAATGCTTTAACATTATCACATGACATGTATTATTGATTTGAAACGTCAAGATGATGCGTCGAATGCTCCCGGTAAGACTTTTGCTTTGGAAAAGACAAATACAGGACTTATTTTAAGTTTGCAAGGACAAAAACCTAATGCAGAACTACCTTAAAAGTTTGGAAGCAGTTAGATTTAGGACCAAAATCCAGGAAACAACATGGTACCACCCAGAGGCATGTTCCCCCTGAATTCCATTGGTGGGCTCACCTTCAAGTTTCAAGTACATAAAAAAATATAGAAAATGTATATAATGGTCTTAACTCCCAATTAATTGCTATTATTTATTGTTTTGGCCTTTTTTTGGCTTGGATAAAGACCAAATTTTTTAACCATACTCTTGGTGCGGCGATAAAAATTTATTTATCGATAATGCTACTGTAACATTCTCATAAGTTAGTGTCACTCGCTCTCGTCATGTGTCTTACTTTCTTCACAAAATAAGAATAATTATTTTGAGATACTACTACAATTATAGTTTGGTTAGAAAGAGTGTAAAACTTGTAAAATGAAAACAAAAAGACAAGAATGTTTAAAATGGATGATGACAAAGAGACCCATCATCATATTTTAATTTAATTTTTTTATACTAAGATAGAAAAGGTCATTTCTCATGCATCTCAGATTCTCCAAATAAAAACACACAAAAACAAAATCAAAACTACTAAATTCCAATTTCTATACGCGCCTTGACTCTGACTCAATTATCTCTCCATATATTAATATATATATATATATATGTATATAACTCAGATCCTTTTATATCCTTATCCTTATTTTTTCATAAAAATAAGAAATAGTTGTGGGGTTCATTTAACCTTGAATTTCAACAATTCGAACATTTATTATGTAAGTCTCGATTCATAAATTATCTTTATAAAAATTCAATTTAATTCAAAATCATTTGCCTATAATTCAGATCCTTTTATATCCTTAGTTTTTCCGTAAAAATAGGAAATAGTTGTGCACATTTAACCTTGAATTTCAACAATTCGAATGTTTATTTTGTAAGTCTCGATTCATAGATCATTTTTACAACTAATTCAATTCAATCCAAAACTATTTGTCTATTTAATTATCACTTTGAAATTTTAATGTTCCTTAAAAGAATAAAGTGTTCCGTCATTAAACTCAATTAGATGTTTCAAACATTTTCGATTTGACTAATATTTTGCAAACATTCAACCAATTTTTTTTTTTTTTTTTGCAAAGATGATCTATGAGATGCAACTTGAAAAATAAACGATTCGAATCGTTAAAGTTCGATGTAATGTAGGCCCTACAATTAATCTATGTTTTAATAAAAAATAAAATAAAACTCTGTTTCCTTAAAGGGTTCCTATATATATAAATTTCCCTTAATAAACCAAATCTAAACTCCCCCTGCTAAATCTTTTTCTGTTTTCAGATAAACTCAATCCCATTCTTCTTCCCCTTCCTTAAATCCAATCCCATCAAAACTCTCTCTCTCTCTCCCCCAAGATTTTCTGATTTGATTTCCTCATTCTGCATCATAAAAGCCAAAAAAACCCCACATCACTATCTGCAAAACATTCCCACTCTCTCTCCCTCCGCTCTCTCTCTCCTCTCTCTCTCTCTCTCCTTGAAATTCAGTACCATTTTTAAATCACACCTCACCATCATGGCTTCCTTCAAAGTCAAGCAAGAATAACAGAAACCCCGAAAGCTTCTTCCTTTTTCCTTTTTTTCCTTTTTTCAAGCAATAATGGCTCAGATTCTCAGAGACAGAGTATTCGGAAGCTCCAGACGACACTCCCAAAATTCAATTCCAATTCCAATTCCAATCCAACCCGCCATGCCCTTTCACCCAGTTGAAGCCCTCCCCAACCCCTTTGGGGAACTGGGTCCGACCCTCTCGGACTCGGAGCTCCGGGAAACCGTCTACGAGATCTTAGTCGGAGCCTGCCGGAGCTCCGGGCCCAAGCCGCTCACCTACATCCCACAGTCCGAGAAGACCGACCGGAGTGCTCTGACTTCGCTCCCGTCGTCGCTTCAGAGGTCGACGTCGTCGGCGGCGAGCCGGGTCAAGAAGGCGCTGGGTTTGAAGTCGTCGTCTGGCAGGAGACTCGGTGGCGGTGACTCAGTGAGCCTGGGGAGGAGTAAGCGGACCGGGACGGTTTGGGAGCTCGTGAGAGTTCAGATGAAGGTTTCGGAGCAGACTGATACGAGGGTCCGGCGAGCACTTTTGAGGGTTGCTGCTGGTCAGGTATGTGAATTTTGATTTGAAAGACATTTTTTTATTTTTTATTTTTTATAATTGGTATTCTGGGTTGTGTTTGGTTGCTGAGAAAATGATAGAAAATAGGAAGATGAATTATGAATGATAGAAAAATCGACAATTGTGGGGAAGGAGAAATCAAAGCTTCAACCTTTTTGATGTCTAGTGCTCAAGGAATCAAAATTTGGCTTTAATTTTCGACACTTTTGTTTTGATACAAGCTATAGTCTATATTAAACTAATCTAAGAACTCGGTTGCACATGGGAGCACATCCGCTCTAGCCAATGTGACGCAAGCGTCTGCAATTTTTGATACTATTTTTGGTTATTTGTGTTATCTCTAATCCAGCTTAGTGAATTGTTGGTATTTGTTTATATGTTTTAGCTTGGACGGCGAATAGAATGCATGGTATTGCCCCTTGAGCTATTACAGCAGTTCAAGTCTTCGGATTTTCCTAACCAACAAGAATATGAAGCTTGGCAGAGGAGAAACTTGAGGGTTCTCGAAGCCGGACTTCTTTTGTATCCTTATTTGCCTTTAGATAAGAGAGACACTGCTTCTCAACAACTCCGGAAGATTATTCATGGGGCCTTAGATAAACCCATAGAAACTGGAAAGCACACTGAGTCGATGCAAGTTCTTCGCAATGTTGTTATGTCTCTTGCTAACAGATCAGTTGACGGTTCTGTTTCCGAGACATGCCACTGGGCTGATGGGTTTCCGTTGAATCTGAGGCTCTACCAAATTCTACTAGAATCGTGTTTTGACCCTAATGAAGAAACATCTGTTATTGAAGAGCTTGATGAGGTTTTCGACCTCATAAAGAAGACCTGGGTGGTTCTCGGAATAAATCAAATGCTGCATAATCTTTGTTTCTCGTGGGTTTTATTTCATCGTTATGTTACAACTGGCCAAGTGGATAATGACCTGCTGCTTGCGTCCAGTAACCTGTTGGCGGAAGTTGAACAAGATGCCTATGGCACAAAAGATCCATCTTATTCAAAGATCTTAAGTTCGACATTGAGTTCGATATTGGGTTGGGCTGAGAAAAGGCTTCTTGCTTACCGAGATACTTTCCACAGTGGCAATATTGAAGCAATGCAAAACATTCTCTCTCTGGGGTTATTATCAGCAAAAATACTGGTTCAAGATATTTCTCATGAGTACCGTAGGAAGAGGAAAGAAACTAATGTGGGTTATGACAGGGTTGATGCTTACATAAGATCATCAATAAGCACCGCTTTTGCACAGGCAAGTTTCCATATTATTTTTGGGCTTCAATTAAATAAAGAGGCCGTAAACAATGTATATTATGATAGGAAATATTCTTTTTATGCCTGTTTCTTGTTGATGATCAATTGGAAAATCAGGTTGATAAACTTTAGCTATCTAAATTTTGGGTATAAATATACTGATCAAGTTTTTGTATGTTGTCTTAAGGCAGAAACTGGAAAAGGTAGGTTCTAGCAAGCGCTACTCGAAGAGCCAAAACAATCTTCCTGCTCTTACCGTCCTTGCACAAGAAGTTAGTGAACTGGCTTTTAGTGAGAAGGAGATATTTGGTCCAGTATTCAAGAGATGGCACCCTCTTGCAACAGGCATTGCTATGGCTACGCTGCATTCTTGCTATGGAAATGAGCTGAAGCAATTTGTGGCGGGTCTCAGTGAGTTGACACCAGACACTATACAAGTGCTGAGAGCTGCTGACAAATTAGAAAAAGATCTTGTGCAGATTGCCGTCGAAGATTCAGTGGATAGTGAGGATGGGGGGAAATCGATCATAAGGGAGATGCCTCCTTACGAGACTGAAGCTGTAATTGCCAATCTGGCAAAGACTTGGATAAGGACAAGAGTAGACAGGCTGAGGGAATGGGTTGACAGAAATCTGCATCAAGAGGTATGCATTTTCTGTTTCCACGCACCAAAAAAGTTGACAAACAAGAGATACAAGCCTCGGTGCTTGCTTCCTAACATAAAGGTATATTTTGCTGAAATTTCTTTGGACAGGTATGGAATCCAAAGGCAAACAAAGAGCGGCTTGCTCCTTCTGCTGTTGAAGTTTTACGCATTATAGATGAAACGTTGGAAGCATTCTTTACGTTGCAGATACCCATGCATTCTGTCTTGGTTCCAGAACTGATGACCAGTCTTGACAAATGTATTCAACATTATGTCTTGAAGGCCAAATCTGGATGCGGTATAAATATTTCTTAGCTTGCACTGGTACATTGAATTTTAAGTTTTTGATCTCCATAATGACTGCCAGTTCTCCTCTGTTACTTGTGCAGGGACCCTAAGCACTTCCATACCCGCTTTACCGGCTTTGACCAGATGCTCAGCAGGATCAAAATATGCTGTGTTCAAGAAAAAGGAAAGGTTGCATATAAGCCAGAGAAGGAAATCTCAGGTTGAAAGTACAAATGGGGACAGCTCATTTGGGATTCTGCAACTTTGTGTGCGCATTAATACTTTGCAGCTTATTCGAATGGAATTGGGAGTTTTTGAGAAGAGGATAATTGCCCATCTTGGGAGCTCAGAAACCCGTCAAGGGGACAATATAGCAAACGGAGTGGGCAAAATGTTTCAGCTTTCCGCATCTGCTTGTGCTGAAGGAATCCAACAACTTTGTGAGGCAACAGCATACAAGGTCGTTTTCCATGACCTAAGTCATGTCCTTTGGGACAGCTTGTATATTTTGGGAGTTTCGTCATCTAGGATTGAGCCATTTCTTCAGGAACTTGAGCAATACTTGGAGATTATTTCATCAACTGTGCACGACAGAGTTAGAACACGAGTCATTACTGATGTAATGAGAGCTTCTTTTGACGGGTTCTTGTTGGTTTTGCTAGCTGGAGGACCTTCTCGCACTTTCACGCAGAAAGATTCTGGCTTAATCGAGGAGGATTTTAAGTTTCTGACTGATTTATTCTGGTCAAACGGGGATGGACTGCCGGCTGATTTGATTGATAAGTTATCGACCACTGTTAAAAGTATCCTCCCTCTGTACGGTATTGATACTGACAGCCTTGTTGAACAGTTCAAACGTGCAACTCTGGAGAACTACGGATCTTCAGCTAAATCCCGGCTTCCAATGCCTCCAACTACAGGGGAATGGAATTCCAACGAGCCAAACACACTTCTACGTGTCTTGTGTTATCGGAATGACGAGACTGCAGCAAAGTTCCTTAAGAAGACTTACAACTTGCCTAAGAAGCTGTAACAACTTGAAAAGATTGATGAAGGATAAATTCATCGGTTGAGTAAGGATTATTTTCGGCTTGGCTTATTCACGGCATCACCCACTGAAAACTCCGTTTTCGTGTTTTTGTCGGAAGATCTGTTCAGTTTGGGTGCAGAATATAGAGATGTATAGCATATTTATTGGTCCACTTTCTTGCTGTTTGGAGCTTTCACCACTCTCCGTCCAGAACTTCAAGCAAGCAAGCAGTGGACTTGTTCTTAGTGCATGGGATTAATAAGGGTTTAGCAAATATTTATACTATTCGTTATTCTAATGTGTCGATTACTTTGCCGAATGCAGTGGGGGTGTATGCTTCAGCTTTCTTTCTCCGTCGCGTTGTTTTTGCCCTCGGCTTCTTGTTCTTTGTGATGAAAATGGTGGAATATGTATATGTTCGTTTTTACTTGTTGGATACAAAAGTATACGAATACGATTCACCAGACTGAACTGGAAAAACAATCCTGTTCGCTTCCAGTTATCGCCGGTGTAAGTAGTCCGATTTTGCCCGTGGTTTTTCGCCTAAACAATATGTTAAAAAGATTATGCTGTAAAACGAATATACAAGTCAAGATCCATATCACAAGTGGCTACAAAATCTTTTGATCGATTTGCGTTTCGTAAGAAATGATCAACTAAAACTATGCCTGCTCTCAATCACTTTCTCCAGAGGCCCTCTCAGCGTTTCTGTATATATGTTATATGAGATTACAGATACGTGACCACAGATTAATGCCAAGGATTCCTTTTCGTTCCGCTCTTCTTTGTGCTACTCGTTGAGCTCGATTTCTGCAAAGGAAACAGATTCAGTTCCTGTTACATCGATAGAACTGATAGCCATTACAAATCGACACTACTGAGGAAGAGCGATGATCTAATACATACCGATTTTGACTTCTTTGTCTTTCCTCGGATCCTGTTCTTTGGTGGTTTTAGTTTGTATAACCGAACCATCCAATGGTGAGTTGTGAACACCTACGTTGATTAAGATCCACAACGTAATCAGAAACCAGCGTGTTTAAGTTTTGAATAATCAATTGAGGGTCGCATTACTCAAATATATATTGTTGCAGATAAAAATCTCAAACTAAAAGATCGTCTGACCTCTTCAAAATGAGTAAGTTTGAAATGTTTCTTTCCGATTTCTGTTTGCCTCACCCTATCAAAGCCTTTACCGTCTGTGTCCACAAACCTAAAGTAAAAGAACACAAGATGCACTGTATTACTCACAGCCGGAACAAAGAAACAAAGAATTTAAGAAAAAAACTCTACAAATCAGCAAGCGATGTTGCGAAAATGCAGACCTGTAATAAGAGAGCTTGTACATGAGACAATTTAGCATGGTGGGGGTCGCCTGATTGTCAATGCGATACTGGCCATCCCTCTTTAGAAACGAAGACAATACACAACATGGTTAATGAAACGTCTCAAATCATAACCAGTTAGAAAATAAAAATGAAGATGAAAGAAATGAGGGACTCACTAAGTAATCAGGTTCCTTGATATGAGGGAATACGCCCCCTCCAATTCGGACCATCCACAAGAACTTGTTAATATCATCACTGGGGTAGCCAACAAGACCTGATAGGTAAAGTTTATCTATCAGAATAAGGTTTTACTTTCTTTTTATACTATCATATCATGCCAAAAAGGAACAAACCTCCAAAAACAACGAGGACATATTTTACATCCAACGAGTTGAAAATTTCCCAAGCTTCCTTTTCTGGAGAAGACATGGCAGTACCCACGGTTGCAATATGCGTGTTGTTCCATGTATTATTGTCAACAATGACAGTGCGATTAGCCATGGCAGTAGTTTGGTACCCATAATCCCACCAAGAGGCAACCTGCAACAAGTTTATAGAAAAAACGAATATTAGTTAGTATCTTCATTTGACAAACAGTACAGTTTTTGTCTGTCAAATTAAACTGAGTTGATACAGGGGATAAAAAGAATATGGCGAAGAACTCACTTTATCATCCACCTCAGTGTTGTGGCTTAGCCACGCATAAGCCTCTCTAAAATCATCAAAAACATGAAGACCATCATGTGAATGAGATGTTAGAACAATAGACGGGGCTGAATAAGCTTCTGCTGCTGCCCAGACACAATGAACCTACAAAATGAATGATGGCTCAACTTCAGAGGAGTCGCATGTCTTTTTCCCACAGGTCCTCAATTAACTCACTGTTAAAGTTGATAAGGAAGATATATTTCCCCCGGAAATTGTCTAAGGTTTGAAGAATGTATAACTTTGAGTGCCATAACATACTACAGCATACAGTATGGATATACATCGGAACCAGAACTGATATGTGATTTAAATCACACAAAATGGAGAACGAAGAAAATTTATTTACCACATAGAAGGCTCCAAGCAACACAAGTAGAAATATAGCAAGAATAGATCCCTCAAATGGTAAAACCAGAAGCCTCTTTTCAATTTGAGATTTAATGGAAGGCTTTTCAACTGGTTCCTTTTCCTTCTTCCTGTTCTTTCTCGAGGGCCTCTCCTTTAATGTGTCTGCTCTTTTATCTGTTTTCGGCACTTCATTCTGGGATACAGTGTTCTCGGAACTGGTTTCCCCTGCCTTGAAAGTCAAAAAGACAAAATCAATGCTATCCCTGTAAAACTTATAACAACGGCTTGGTGAAGGAAGACCAGCAGTGGAAAGTAAGAAGCTTACATCAACTTGGGAAGGCACTAGAAGACCGGGTAACTGAAACTTGATTGATCGTGTGAAAACGTCAAAAGCTTCAGACAGAGCAATCCCAGACATGATGCACGCTGCTGGAGCAAGTACTAGCATAAGTCGCACCTGTAATATTGGTGAACAACAATATTAATATGAAATATCATGAAAATGGGAAGAAAAATTGAAGTTAACCATGCCAATAATAGTTCCTTACCATGACTCCAGAGAAATATACTGATGTTACAATATAGAGGATCACAAAAGAGCTTGCATCTGATAAGGGTGAAAAGCATGCCTACCAACAGATATAAACCGTAAAAACAGTGGTAAGGAACATGAATATATGAATAAAAATCAAAATATAGTGACTTGAGAAACTAAAAGAAAAGTATGGTTTTCAGATTCGATTCTTACAATAATTCCAGCTGGAACCAAGAAGGCCAACACATTAATATCCATAAAGTAAGAGGGCCAAGTAGGAGGCTGGTGCTCACTAACACTAGCAATAATTGGTATGTACTTGCTCGCATAAGTTCTGAAATGAAAAAATAAAATACAAACATATAAAAGTTACTTTGTCATTTGTCTCTCAGTTAGGCAGCACAAGTATTCATGACAAGTTATAGAATACAAACAGGTCAAATGGTGACTAACATCTCAAGTTGGGACGCTGCTGGCCTTGAGGGACCAGAAGGGGGGTGAATTCTAAAAGGGTAATACTATAGACACCAAAAAGAATCCAAATTATCCTAGTGATCCACTTACTTTTTCCTGTGAACCCCATTATGTTAGCAAATACGATATTACCAAGTCATTTACCAAATTACTTTGGAATTCCAAATTTGAGATGTATTTTGGTGCTTGCCGTATTATGCATTCTAAAAGAATTAGCTTGCCGCATCAGGCCCTCTGAATAATATATCAGACCAGAGCCAGATGTTTGGAAAATTTCGGAACCAGTTACTCCAAATTAAGTTGCGCCCCCATTGAAATTTCTGCTTCAGTCAAGTCAGTTCGTCCATTAAACCAAAGGTTAACAAACAAAGAACACACATAACTAGCGAATTATGTACTTACGGATCAAGTAGACTTAGACTTCGCCCACTCCATCCCTTTGTTGGGCTTGAAGCTACCAGAGCTACGAGTACTGCTACCACAGCTAAACATACTAGCCTGGAAAAAGTAACGTGAGAGGCATAGAGATCAATTGTGTGTTCAATGTTTGAGAACCTTAATAAATTTTGAGGACAGAACAAGTGAAGCATACAGGCCAATGGATACTACAAGCGTGACAGCCACTTTGAACATTTTCGGAGAGAGAATCCCTTTGATATAGTACACAAGAGCGACCACATGTAAAATAATAAAAACCTGCAAAAGAAAATATAGCAACAAGAAAACATATTGTCAATATATACAACTAACATGAAAGGCAGTGATACAAAGTACAAGAAATCTAGTTTATGGACAAAATGAAGAAAGCAGAGTGGACCGCACCATATCGTTGACATATTCATCTCAACTCTTATCTATATTTAACTTCTAATCAGTTCCTTATTTATACAATCTTTTCTTTAACTTCTACTCATTCAAAGCTTGAAACCCTTCAATTGGTATTATCAAACATCAAAGTCCATAAAAGCACGACCTATATTTTACAACTGCTTTATGAAAGTCAAACTTTTATAAGTGGATCAGTCCAAGATAACATACACTCTTATGAGTTCCAAGGTTTATAAAAAAAGTAGAATAATGATCATTACAAGACAAATCTAGAAACAGGCGAGCAAGCATCTCAAGAACATACTATCTCAGTAGGAAGACATTTACAGGCCGTAGCCAAGACAAGCTCCCGCATCATAAAATGAGAAGTCAATGAGAAAAGAAAGTTGGGAAATGCTCACCAAGAAGGAAGCAAAATGTTCTGATGTCATGACTGCATTGAATCCAACCACCGGCACCAAAGCCGCTAACAACGTTCCCAAAACAACCTGCATTGAGAAAGCTATAATTAGGAACCAAAAATGTCATTTTGAAGTAGATAGAACTGACCTAATGTCACGTCCTTTACAATTATCCCAGTGTTTCAAAATTCAGAGACAGGTGTCAGAAAGTTCAAAGGGAAATCAACTACGTACTAAGCTTTTCTCACATCTTAGTAAATGATGACATATTAAAGGAGAGAATAAGCATGGCAAATTCTTTTCAAAAAGTAAAATAAAAAAATAAAATAAAAAAATCAACATGGTAAATGAATCTTGACTAAAGTATTTTACAATCAGATAGTATGAATTTAATAATTTTCCTATTAACCATATGAATTTAATTTTCACCCTTCTTTTCCATCTAGTATTTCTAGCTCAAAACTGTTAAAGCATGAGAATGTTAACATGCATTCTTCAATTTTAGTGCCAAATGCATGTTCCACTTGTTTTCAATCATAGTTAGCTTCATTAGTATTGTGGATACTTACAAGAGGAGCATATGCAATGTATAGACGAGAAGAGTAGCGGCCAGTTACAATGCAAAGAAGCACATGCATTGGAATAAGGTTAATAATAAATGTGTAGCCTCCCCAAGAGCAAACCTGAAACAATGAAACAAAATGCAATCAAAATAAATATCAGAGGAATTCATAAAACTACAAAACCAAAAACAACACTAGTACCTATACTTACCATGTAAAAGTACGCTATGGCATTAAGAGTTGCATAGAAGAGGGACCCTGTATTCAGAGTCTGCATATGATGTATAATGTAGTAAGAAAATATTCAAGCAGTATTTTTGAAGCACATTATAGATTATTCGTGTACCATATGCCAATGATATAAACTCATCAGTGAACAAAATCCGATCATTATTCATAAACCACCACCGCATTTTGATACATTAATAGAACATGAATGAATTAAGTAATCATTTCGAAATCTAACCTTTATATAAAGATAGAAAGTGAAGATCAAAGCAAAAATAGCTACAGCTTCATTGTCATAGCTTCCAGCCACTGACCGAGAAATATATGACGGGACCTGCAAACAAAAACATAAAACAAGCACAGCTAAGCATTTGCTTTTACCTGTTCCAAATGTTGTAGAGTTAAAATTACCCGCTATGTAATTTACCATGGCTATAAGAGCAGCAGCTGTTAGTCCAGCACCAGCACCCTTAACTTCCTGAAGAAAGAGGCAATTGAAATCATCATAATATTGGAGGACAGTAACCAAAATCTACAAAATAACTAAGGCTTGAATACAAACCCGAGTCAGCAGGTAAGTTGCCCACGATGTGAAAGCAGAGAATATAGGGGCAGTAAATACACAGATAGTTTCCACGGAAAGAGGAATGTTCAATGAATTCAAAAACCTGATAAGAGAATAAGAGGGCAATGAATCATAAATATTGGCTAAAACAAGAATCACTGTAAAGTAGGTCCTTTCTCTCTTCTCCTTTTTCTCCTTTAGGGTTGTGGGGAACACATACTCAGTAGTTAAAACCCGAATGAAAATAAACTTTTTTTTTTCTAGCATTTCTAGTGATGCTCACCACCATAGGGATCCTGCTGTCAAGGTCAATCCAGGGTAAACAGTTCCACCAATCACACGACCAAGAGGATACCTAGAATGTAAATTTAAGAAAGTTTAAATCCATATTGCTGAATTACGTAATCTAAGAAATCAAAACAAGAACCCTGCCATGAGGTTTGACAAGCCAGAAAAATTCGAAATTACCAGGTTCGGTCATCAAACCAGTTCCAAAAATCGTATATTCCATTCTTCGTCAGAAACTGAAACCAACAAAGAAATCTGTCATCTTTTATACAGCCTCCCGTCACTACATTATAATAAGATGAATCGACGCATGCACTCATAATAAATTTCAAAACTTTCAAGCACATATAATCCACTAGCAACGCCATCTTATTCAGCTAGAATTATATGTCCAAGTGCAAGACAGGTTAAACTGTAAAGGTCGTACCCAGTGCACAAGGCTCCCGCTTTACGCAGGGTAAACTGTATTTAGGCAAAAAAAAAATTAAAAATCTGTATACTTGACGGTAAACCAATCTTAAACCAGATAAAGAACCAAACCTGAGTGACTCTGTAATTGAAGTACGGATCAAACTCGTGAATAACACTCTCGTACTTTATAACCTGCACATCAATTCACACCGAAACACGAACATGAGGACGATATGAATACATAGTTACACTCCTTTTGATTACTGAGAAATGTAAATGCGAATGACAAATCAAAACTACAACAATTAGAACTCAACAATTTACAGATAACACATGTCAAAGTAATTACGAAGCACCATTCAGTTCGGTAATTCACAAGAGTAAATAATCAAGTGCAAAGTGGTATAATTTGTACAATTTAACCATATATATATGTACATCAATAGATATACAATTTCAACATCGACGCATTTTCCTGCATTTTCTTGGCTGTCAAACAAGCAACGCTGGATTTTAACCAAAAAAACCGAGCAACGCTGGATTTTGATATCTGTAAACGATTAGATCCAGATAATAATATAATGGTCGAAGAGCTCACAGAGAAGAGCCGGATCGAAAATGCGAGGACGCCGATCAGGATGAGGATGAAGAAGGAGAGGACATTTCCAAAAGCGTGCCTCAAGGTCGTTCCGTTGGAGGTCTCCGATGCCGCCATTGACGGCCAAATCAAGCTCCGAGCTTTTGGAAGAGCGATGGAGGAGGAGACTGAGGTCTGAGGAGGAGGAAGGGTTTTTGCGGGCAGCGACTAAAACCAAGTGGGGGAGAAGACTTTGTAACACTATGCAGAGGGAGGGGAGATGAATTGATGAAATGACTAAAATGCCCCTGATGTATTTTGACAGAAGTGTCCTTGTGCACGTATACGTGGCTTTTTGTTATAGTCATTGCAAGGAGTAAAAGCTCGTGATTGGTTTCGCGCTACGCAATATGTCACGTGGCGTGATATGATAAGTGGAGTAGGTTTTAATAGTGAGAGATTTTTTTGTGTGGCAAAAATATAAGTTGGGTGGACCAATGTCATAATATAATTGTTTGGAAATTTAAAAAGAAAAATTGCATCCAATTATATTATAATTTGATGTATCAGACCGTATTAATAATATAATGAGTTTCTCTGATGGTAGCGGTGCAATTCATTCCTTACAACTGCTTTGGGCCCAGATTCATTGTGCGGCTGGTTTGGTTTTAGTTGGTTCGATTTTTTAGGTAAAACTGAAAATCAAACCAAAATTACCATTTGGTTGGGCTTTTTCAATTTTGGATTTTTTTACTCTTTTTTGTTCTATTTAAAATTAGGAAAAAAATTTATTTATGATTGGAATACAGATGATACATTATGTATTTTTATATAAATAATGAGAAATTTTATTTTTTAAGTTATTAACTTTTTAACACATATATCTTACTTTTTGTATAGTGACACGTGTTTGTAATTTTATATAATGACACGTAGTGTACTATCCAATTTTCTGATCACATTGAAAAATCTCTCTAAAGTTATGGTTTCATACTTTTGGTCTGCCTAAGATTTTTTGAAAGAGATTCTCTCCGGATCTCTTTCACCAAAGAGTAATTCAGATTTTTAAAATTTTATCTAACGATAAAAAATTATTATAAATCAAACAAGTAGATTATTGGATGAAATTTCAAAAGTTTAGATTACTTATTCCGGTTGTTGAAAAGATCCGAAAATCTTATTTCAGGATTTTTTAGTCACGTCCGTTTGCTTTTTGCGATTTAGGGTTTGAAGGAGCTTTATCACCATGTCGGCTTTGACACTGCGTCGGAACATAGACTTCGGCAATGGCGGTGCATTTCCGGAGATTCACATGCCTCAGTACCCTCTCGGCATGGGGAGGGATAAGATCTCAAAACCCGGGACGAAGATTCTTCCAGTTACAGTTGATGCCAATGGGGACATTGCGTATGACGTTCTTGTGTTTGAGAATTCGAAAAAAATTGTCTACTCCCAACACAAGGATCTGGTGCCGAAAATTTTAAAGGATGAGGAGATAGATAAGGATGAGAAGGAGGAGGAGGAGTTGCAAGAGGTGACTAGAGCGGAAACGAAAGCGGCAATCGAGAAAACGATGAACGTATTATTGAGCGGTGCGCAGCCGAATAATGTGCCCAAGCAATCGTCGGACTTGAAATATTTTAAGTTCATGCCGTCGGAGAAGTCAGGGGCGTTTAATTCCGGCGCCAAGGAGAGGATGATAAAGATGGTGGAGAAGCCTGTGGACCCACTTGAGCCGCCAAAGTTCAAGCACAAGCGTGTTCCTAGGCCTTCTGGTTACTCGCCCGTGCCAGTCATGCAATCACCTCCCAGGCCTGTGAGTTCGAAGGACCAGAAGGAATGGACCAAGATTCCGCCATGTACTTCAAACTGGAAGAACCCGAAAGGGTATACAATTCCGTTGGACAAACGTCTTGTGGCTGATGGGAGAGGCCTTCATGATGTTCTGATTAATGATAATTTTGCAAAGCTCGCCGAGTCTTTGTATGTAGCGGAGGAGAAGGCTAGGGAGGAAATCGAAGCAATAAATCAAGTTAAGCTAGAACTCAATAAAAAGGAGAAGGAAAAGAAAGAGAGGGAGTTGAGGGAATTAGCTCGGAAAGCTCGTTCTGAAAGAGCTGGAATGGATGCGGATGTGCCAAAGGAGACGGTAGAGGAAAGACAAGGGAGGTTGGAACAGACTAAGATTCGTGAGGAGAAGCATGGAGAGAGGAAAACGAAGAGAAGGTTGGAGGAAAAAGATGGAGCAATGGGGAAGAAAAGTAAAACTACTAGAGATAGAGATCGAGATATTAGCGAGAAAGTTGCCCTAGGCATGCCCAATGTTGGAGGAGCGGGCGGCGGAGGGGGAGAGGTTATGTATGACCATAGGCTGTTCAACCAGGAGAAAGGAATGGACTCAGGGTTTGCCACAGATGATCAGCACAATGTTTACGACAAGGGCTTGATTATGTCCCAGCCTACAATTTCAACCCTATACAGGCCTACGAAAGATGTTGATAGCAAAATGTATGGCGGCGCTGATGAGCAGTTGGATAAGATTAGGAAGACAGGTGGCTTCAAACCTGACAGAGGGTTTGGAGGAACTGATGAGAGGGCAGCAGGACAAAGAGATGGACCGGTTGAGTTTGAGAGGGATGTTGCTGAAGAAGCCGATCTATTTGGTCTGGACCGATTAATAACAAAGATGAAGAAGGCTGAGAACGCCACGGACTAGGATGGAACACGAGGACAATGGGAGCAAGTGTTGGTGGTGGATGAGAAATGACTTTCAAACGGGCTTCATCAGAAGAAATCGTTATGCTATTCAGTGCTCAATTGTCTTTGTTGTCATGGGGTTTTTTATTTTCAGTGGGTCTTATCTAGTTGCTATATATCTCAACCATGATTGTTTATTAACTCAAAACCTTCTTATAACATATTTTGTCTATTCAGATCGTGAATTCGTATATCGATCGCTTGTGTTGGCTTTTAATTTGTCTCAATATTTATGTGGATTTGTTGACAAATTGGCTCTAGTTTAACAATTTGCTTCAAGTTGTTTCACCTATGCTGCTGTGACTTCCTAAGCACACTCGTGTGTTTTATTTGACTTCTCCAACACACTTTGTTTGGTGTGCATTTAGTTTTGCATAGAGAGCGTTTAAGAAGTGGTTGAGGGGGAGTCTTTATATTTAGTATTACAAGAGCAAATGGGAGGGTGCAGTTCGAACGCACAGAGATGGGATATGAGGGAGATAAAGTTGACGGTTAAAGTAAAGGAAAAGAAAATAAGAATTGAGATACGAGGGAGAGAAAGTTTTGGAGTTTGCGGGAGAAGAAAACAAGGGGGTTTGGGGAAAAAGATAGGAAGAGGTGAATGAGGAGAAGGGAGTGAATCTAGGATTTTGTACCAGTATCATTTGTCAGGTAGTCGACAGCCGGCACTCCTAGGTTACGTCGAATCCTTATGAAATCATTTGTTTTCTTTTATATTTGTGAGTGTGTAAACTTAGGCGTATTTGGGGTTTGGGTTTGTGAGTGATACACTTTTGTAATCTCCATGAGATATTAGTGGAATTTTCTCACCGTTTTCTATCTGAACGTTTTTATCATATTTTGCCTTGTTAAATTAGTGGCTTCATATCTGAAGGTTCTAGACAGCAGTTTGGTGATTTACAACCAGAGGGGGCGTTGAGGGGATGCGAAAGGTACAGTCGCACAGGGCCATAAAATTTTTAAGGGCCTTCAAAATTTTTGTCACCTAATATTTATATGTAATAATATTATATATTTAAAATTGCTTTTGTTATGAAATAATATTCTATATTCAAAATTTGATTTTGTTAGCACTTTAAAATCTCATCTTAAGCGTAATTTTTTTTCTTTCTAAATATAAAAATTTAGAGTACAATAAGATATTTTGAGTGCCAATAATACACCATAAAAATGGTATTTTTTTCAATATTATCATATAATAATGTTACATATTCAAATGAAACTTTAAAGTTAGAGTTTTTGAACTTTGTTTTCTTGTTTGGTTGTTTAAGATTGAACTGCTTTTGATTATTTAGTGAACGTTATGTTTGTAGCTCTTTTTACTTATTATTAATGACATTTTTAAACTTGCAATCAGTGAGTGCTAAACTTTGTTTTGATTTAAGTGATTGTTTTCTAGCGTCAATACATTGTCCTACATTTTTTAAGACTATCTTAATGAGGGGCGCTTTTATAAATTTCGTACAGGGCTCCAAAATCTCAGAGACGACCCTGTTTACAACTACAACTACGCATATTGAAATGCAAAAGGCGGTTTAGTTGTCCGTTTAATAAGATTCCGGCGGTTAATGTGAGTAATTTTTCCAAGTTGTATATGGAATCCTTTTTTGCTTTGGATACAAGCTGTAGGCGGAATCCTAATCCCAGAATGATAAGGAAATTAAACTCGTACATCTATCTATATAAACGTACATACATGCTGTATGTGGAATCACAATTTTCGTTCATAGAAGTCGTGTTCTGATTTTCGTTTTGGTTTTCTTGTTTCTTTTGCAGTCTGGTTTAGGTTGTGACTTGAGTAATTAAGACCATGGCGGCTCTGAAACAGTCTTCCGCTTCCGGCGGCGATCGCGCAGCAACTTTCTACGATCACCCGAATGATCCGTGGGGCAAGCAGCGCTATGGCGGTTCTGCCGTGGCGGAAGAAAGACCTGCTGCTGCTGTCGTCAAACATAACCCTATACCTCAATACCCGAAGCGTAAAGGGTTTGTTCCTAGGAAGGTAGAGGACTTTGGCGACGGCGGTGCGTTCCCGGAGGTTCACATAGCTCAGCACCCTCTAGGCATGGGCAGGAACATGTCGAAATCTGGAACGAGTATTCTTCCAGTTTCAGTTCATGCCGACGGGAAAATTGCGTATGATGCCCTTGTTAAGCAGAACGAGAACTCGAAAAAAATTGTCTACTCCCAATACAAGGATCTCGTGCCGAAAATTTTGAAGAATGAGGATGAGGTGATGGTCGAGAAAGATGAGGACGAGGAGTTGCAGAAGGAGGTTGAAGAAACTGCAGCGGAAACGAGAGCGGCGCTGGAGAAGATCGTGAATGCGAAATTGGGCGCTGCACAACCGAACAACGTGGCAAAGCAGTCGACAGACTCGAAACTGATCAAGTATAGGTCGTCGCAGAAATCGGCGGCATTTAATTCTGGCGCCAAGGAGAGGATGATAAAGATGGTGGAGATGCCAGTGGACCCACTAGAGCCTCCGAAGTTTAAGCACAAGCGTGTTCCTAGGCCTTCCGGTTCCCCACCCGTGCCGGTCATGCATTCACCTCCTCGACCGGTGAGTGAGAAGGACAAGAAGGGCTGGAATATTCCTCCGTGTGTTTCGAACTGGAAGAACCCAAAAGGGTATACAATTCCGTTGGACAAACGTCTTGCGGCTGATGGGAGAGGGCTTCAAGATGTTCAGGTGAATTACGATAATTTTGACAAGTTTTCTGAGGCTTTGTATGTAGCGGAGAAGAAGGCTAAAGAGGCATTGGCTATGAGATCTAAAGTTCACGAAGAAATTATTATCAAGGTGAAGGAAAGGAAGGAGCAGGAGTTTAGGGAATTAGCTCGGAAGGCTCGTTTTGAAAGAATTGGTGGCGTATCGGTATCCATTGACCCATCTGGCAAAGGAGGAATGGAGACCGATATGCCAAAGGAGACAAGGGAGGAAAGAGAAGGGAGGTTGGAGCGGAACAAAATTCGCAAGGAGATGCATGTAGAGAGGGAAAGGAAGAGAAGGTTGGAGGCAAAAGATGGCGCAACGGGGAAGAAGAGTAGGGTTACAACAGATAGAGATCGGGATGTTAGCGAGAAAGTTGCCCTAGGCATGGCTAATGTTGGAGGTGCAGGCGGCGGAGGGGGAGAAGTTATGTATGATCATAGGCTGTTCAACCAGGAGAAAGGAATGGACTCCGGTTTTGCCACAGATGACCAGTACAATATATATGACAAGGGCTTGTTTGCTGCTCAGCCGATGCTCTCAACCTTGTACAGGCCGAAAAAAGATGTTGATAGTGAAATGTATGGCGGCGCGGATGAGCATTTGGATAAGATTACGAAGACTGATCGCTTCAAACCGGACAAAGGGTTTGAAGGAACTGCTGAGAGGGCGTCAGAAAGAAGAGATGGACCTGTCGAGTCTGAAGCCGATATATTTGGTCTAGACCGGCTAATGACAAAGATGAAGAACAAGGGCGAGAAACCCACGGACAAGGTTAGAACAGGAGGGACGATGAGAGCAAGTGCCTGCGGGTCTTCGATGCAAGATGGTTATCAAACGGGCTCCAAAAGAAGAACTCGTATCAAGCTTTTCTGAATGTGATCCACCTGATTGGATTGTGAAGGTTAATTGCTCGCACTTCTTACTTGGAGGATGTTTGTTTTCGCATTTTAGTTTGTTTGGAATTGTTTTCAGTTTTTATTTTAACAGATTTTTTTTATATATTTTCATCCTATTATTTCTCAATCTTCTTGCTCTTCATCGGTGCAGGATTGCAGAAAGTGCATCTCTACTTTTCGTGTAAGCTGATTCCAAACACTAGTAACCTAACTTTTATTTTAATTTTTAGTTATATTTCGAGGGAATTCTGTAACATCCCATATCGCCCAGGGGAGCGATCCTTAAATGTATATTCTCATCCCTACCTAGCACGAGACCTTTTGGGAGCTCACTGGCTTCGGGTTCCGTAGGAACTCCGAAGTTAAGCGAGAAGGAGGCCACAACACTCCCAAGATGGGTGACCCACTGGGAAGTTGCTCGTGAGTTCCCAAAAACAAAACCTGAGGGTGTGTCGGGGCCCAAAGCAGACAATATCGTGCTATGGTGGTGGAGCGGGCCCGGGAAGTGATCCGCCCCGGGTCGGGATGTGACAAATTCAATCCTAAAATTAACCTAAACTTTCATGAAAAATCTAAGCTACAGGTAATTTCAAGTGCTTGGAAGACTACTTTGTTAATGTTGTTGTTGACAGGACTTGGTCAGGTCTACCATAGGAGTCATGGCCATGTGGTGTTTGTTGTGCGGAAGTGGCATTCGACTGTAAGTGAATAGTAAAACAGAACAGAAACAAAACCAACATCAACAAGAACACCAAGATTTATACTGGTTCGGCAATGCCTACATCCAGTTTGGAGACGACGGAGTATTCCACTATAATCAATGAGAACATACAATAGTGTTATCACTCAATTTCCCAAAGACCCAAATAACCCAAGCTCTCACACTTACAATAGGAAGAAAAAAAAAACAAAAATACAAAGCAAGACAATTTGAGAAAATTCTTCTCTATGCCGAATGGCTTCTTGCTATTTTTCTCTCTTCCTTTTTCCTATCACTTCTCAATGCTTATGGGCTGCACCTTGCTCCCTTTTTATAGCCAAAGAAAAAGCTTCTCAAAGACATCAATGGCCAAAGGCCTACCATCAAGTCAAAAGAGTTAGGCACAAATGCATGTAATTTTTTTGTTTCCCACATGTAGCATGCCAACCAACAATTTTGACCACAAAAGTAGCCGAAATCAATTGTTGGTTTTAGACTACTTTGTTTGAGCCAATAATCAACAATCTCCACCTTGGCTCAAACCCTCTAAGTAGAACTCCTAATAGTCGTCTCCCAATCCCCCATGGGGCAATCAACAAATTTTACAAATGCCAATCAAGTCTAAGCAGTGCTTAAACTTGTGCAATGAAACTGGCTTTGTTAACATATCCGCAGGATTGTTAGCGGTCTCAATCTTCTGAAGAAGAATATCTCCCTCGTCAATAACCTCACGAACAAAATGGAACCTCACATCAATGTGTTTCGTACGTGCATGATGAACTTGATTCTTTGCTAAATGAATAGCACTCTGACTGTCGCAATGAACATCCACATGGTCTTGTTGAACCCCTAAGTCATCAAGCAACCCTTGAAGCCAGATGGCTTCCTTTATAGCTTCTGTCACAACCATGTATTCTGCCTCAGTAGTCGACAAAGCAACTGTAGATTGCAGAATCGACCTCCAACTTACTGGACCTCCAGCAATAGTGAATACAAAACCAGTAGTGGACCTACGCTTGTCCAAATCACCTGCGTAATCAGAATCCACATATCCAACAACACATTGACCAGTAACTTTATCCTGCTGGAACAATAAACCAACATCCACAGTACCCAGAATATACCGTAGAATCCATTTCACAGCTTGCCAATGCCCTTTTCCTGGATTATGCATATATCTACTGACAATACTAACAACTTGTGAAATATCAGGCCTAGTACACACCATAGCATACATCAAACTACCAACAACATTTGCATAAGGAATTTGAGCCATGTACTGACTCTCTTCAACAGTTTTAGGAGACATAGAAGCGCTAAGTTTGAAATAAGAGGCAAGAGGTGTACTAACCGGTTTTGAATTTTCATTCATCCTGAAACGTTGTAGTACCTTCTTCAAATACTGCTTCTGACACAGACTAATCTTGCCCTTCGCTCTATCTTTTTCAATTTCCATACCTAGTATCTTCCGAGCTTCTCCCAAGTCCTTCATCTCAAATTCATTACTTAGTTGAGTCTTCAACCTTTCAATCTCCACTTTGCTCTTACATGCTATAAGCATATCATCAACATATAAAAGCAGATAAATGAAGGTTCCATCTTGTAGTTTGCGAAAGTATACACAATGGTCATAGTGACTTCTTGTGTACTTTTGCCCGATCATAAATCCATCAAATTGCTTGTACCATTGTCTTGGAGACTGCTTCAAGCCATACAATGATTTTTCCAATTTGCAAACCCAATTTTCCTTTCCAGCAACCTTAAAACCTTCTGGCTGAGACATATAAATCTCTTCCTCCAAATCACCATGTAAGAACGCAGTCTTGACATCAAGTTGGGCCAACTCAAGATCAAACTGCACAACCAAAGCCAACAGAATACGAATAGAAGAATGTTTTACTACATGAGAAAATACCTCATTGTAGTCAATGCCTTCCTTCTGAGCGTAGCCTTTAGCTACCAATCTGGCTTTGAATCTTACATTGTCTTTTCCCAAAGATTCCATCTTTTTGGCATACACCCATTTACAACCAATTGCTTTCTTCCCCTTTGGTAACTGAACCAGATTCCAAGTCTCATTTTTATGAAGAGATTTCATCTCCTCATCCATAGATTTCTTCCACAACTCGCACTTTGAACTCATGACAGCTTCTTTGTAGGCGGATGGAATGTCATCTTCAATAACAGGAAGTGCATATGCCACAATATCAGTAAATCGAGCAGGCTTTCGAATTTCCCTTCTAGATCTTCTGGTTGCAATATAGTCTTGTTGCTGTGGATGCTCTTGGGTAGGTGCCTCCCCTTCATCATCCTCGTCCTCATCATCAGAATTAATTGTAGGACTGGTGTTTGTAACATCATACCTTACTGGAACAACTGGAGTCTTCAGTAACTCCACCTGCTTTGAGCTACTCATGGTCTCGGTCGCTTCAGTTTCACCTTCATGCTTGTTCTGATTAACCATAGCAACCTCATCAAAAGTCACATCTCTGCTTACAACAAATTTCTTCTCATCTGGACACCAGAGTTGGTATCCCTTCACGCCAGTGCTAAAGCCCATAAATAGAGCTTTCTTTGCTCTTGGATCCAACTTGCTTTCTCTGACATAATAGTAAGCAGGACAACCAAATATGTGTAAAAACTTGTAATCAGTACAAGGTTTACCAGACCATACCTCAATGGGCGTTTTGCCCTCATTCGCAGCAGCTGGCAATCGATTAATGAGATGGCTTGCATAAGTGAGTGCCTCAGCCCAAAATGCCTTGCCTAATCCAGCATTAGACAACATACACCGAACTTTCTCAAGCAAAGTACGGTTCATGCGCTCCGCCACCCCATTCTGTTGCGGTGTCTCCCCAACCGTGAAGTGCCTCACAATACCCTCATCTTGACAAACTTTCAAGAAAGGATCAGACTTATATTCACCCCCATTGTCTGATCTGAGAGTCTTGATCTTTCGACCGCTTTGCGTTTCAATCATCTTTTTCCACTTCAGGAATATCTTAAAGACTTCATCTTTACGCTTCATGATGTACACCCATATTCTTCTAGAGAAGTCATCAATAAAGGAGACAAAATAATGGCTACCTCCCCAAGATGCATTCTTGGAAGGTCCCCAAACATCAGTGTGAACATAATCAATAATGCCCTTAGTGTGGTGAATAGCAGTGCCAAATTTTACTCTAGTTTGCTTACCTAACACACAATGCTCACAGAATTCCAATTTGCATGCCTTTGCACCTTTCAATAAGCCTTGCTTCACTAATTCTTGCAACGTTTTTTCACCAGCATGCCCAAGACGCATATGCCATAACCTCGTGGTGTCTGTGTTATCTGCGTCAGCAGCTTCGGTGACAGCTGCTCCACCAATAACTGTACTCCCCTGCAAGAAATACAAGTTATTTCGTCTTGTACCTTTCATCACCACCAGTGCCCCGTACACAGCTTTAAGAACTCCACCCTCCATGGTGATCTTGAGACCCTTGGATTCCAATGCACCCAGTGAGATGAGATTTTTCTTCATATCCGGTACATACCGAACATCACTTAATTCTCTGACTGTTCATCATGCATCTTCAAACAGATTTTACCTATCCCTTGTGTTTTGCAGGCATTATTATTACCCATCAAAACAACTCCACCATCCAGCTCCTCGAAATTAGAAAACCATTCCCGAATGGGACACATATGATAGGTGTAACCTGAATCCAAAATCCACTCATTGGAGTGACCATCAGCATATGAACTAGCCAAAGCAAACTCGAAATCATCATCTCCAGATTTTGCAATATTTGCTTCAGAACCCGCTTTCTCCTTCTCTTTGTTCTTCAATTTGGGGCAGTCTTTCTTCCAATGCCCCTTTTGGCGACAAAAAGCACATTCATCTTTAGCAGGAAAACTTCCCTCGTGACTTTGAACGAGATTTTTCCCCCGCTTCCCAGATTTTCTTTCCTCTGTTCGACCCCTTGCAACAAATGCCTCGGTTTGTGAATTGTGAGTCTTCAGTTCCTTCTTACGACACTCATGATTCACCAATGCTGCAGACACCTCATCAAGTTTCACCTCGGATTTTCCATACAACAGAGTAGTTGTCAAATGATCATAATCATCAGGCAATGAATTTAACAAACATAGTGCCTTGTCCTCGTCAGGAATTTTCACATCAAGGTTTGCTAAATCAACAAGTATTTTATTATAATCATTGAGGTGTTCGTGCATAGAGATACCTGGACGATACTGAAATCGGAAGAGTCGCTTCTTCAAGAAGAGACGATTTTCTGCGCTCTTGGTCATATACTTCTCCTTCAATTTCGTCCATAACTCCTTAGCAGAAGTTTCCTTCATATACGGGTATTTCAAC